ACACACACACACACACACACACACACACAAAGCAACACAATAGTGGTGTGTGTGAACCCCTCAACCAGATTTACTGACTCTTTGTTTTTGTGTCTCCAGCCTGTGATGACGAGTGCTCGGGTCTGTTGATCAGCGATATGGACCGCCTGTATCGCATCATCACTGAGGTCACTCTGACCACGCCCCTCCCGCCACCTTACAAGATGCTGTACCGCTTCGAGAACATGACGGAGGAGCTCAAGGTAAAAAAATAAATCAGTCTCACTGGTTGGAAAGGATAATATTCAGATTCAGCTAAAGGAGACATATTCATCATTTTAATCTGTGTCATTACTTGAAAAGGTTTAAATGCTCGACTCATTTAAACTCTGTTCGTACACGAAAACAGTTTTTATTGTTTAACAATGTAAAGGACGTACGGAACTATGAGGGCAGCGACGGTGACATCGGTTGAAATGGGTGCATCTCTTCTCATTCATAATCCTGGCTCTAAACAGCCGTTTCTTTATTTCACATCAATGTTAAACACACGATCAGTCTTTGGAAATACTCGCTTCTCAGCAACACTGTGTAAAAAGACCTCAGATTCGTTTTCTATTTTTTCAACCTGCACTAGTTAGACAAGCATTGTCATTAGCATTTCTTTATGAGTTTGTTTTCGAGTGTTAAAGACACTAAGATCTCTAAGTTCTTCCTTAATTACCTCCAAGAATAAATGTGCACAGTCGACAGGTTTCCGCTGCCGTTACACTTGATTAACACGTACCGTATTTCCATTGAACTGTGGCTGAATTGCAATTTCAGAAACAAATTTTTGCATTTAAATGATGTCATTACCATGTTGGCGTCAACATATTCACAATACATCGAGTTTTATCAGATGTGTTTTCTCTTCTTGCTCATCTTCTGTCTGGCTCTACTGCAGAGAAGCCTGGCGGTTCAAAAAGCCTATAGCCCGAGGCCAGAATGTGTCAGGCGCTTCTCTCTGTAATTCCTCCATCGCTCTGTGTGTCTCTCCCCGCAGCACATGCTGTCGCCTCAGAAAGCTCCGGAGAGATTACTGCAACTGGCCGACTCCAACCTGGGATCACTGGTTGTTGAGATGGACCAGCTGCACAGCAGGGTACAGACGCTTTAAGTTTTTCCTCTTTGCTCGACTTAAGTCTCTGTCGTTGTCGTCCTCTCTCTTCTTGATCCTCCTTCCGCCGTCTGTCTGCAACATAATGAGATGGAGCAAATGTAGAGGGAGATTCTAGTTTAAGGCAACACTTATATTCAAAGAACAGTCCAGTCATTTCCACGATCATTGTAGTGGCAGCACACAAACAATACAAGCAGTTCTAAGTATGTTTGCTGACATGAAAGCAGCACAGAAAACAATCAGGCTATTTTTCAACCAAGTGGTAACTTACCTGTCCCCGAAGTCTACGTCCATTTTGTGTCCAACATGTGGATCAAGTGTCAGAACTTGTAGAAGAATCGTAATACACCATAGAAACCAGTTGAGGTAAACACAAGGGGAGACGATGCTGAATAATGGTAGGATTGTGAAACATGTAATTAGCACAACAAGCCCGTAAGTGAAATTATGAAAGTGTCTGAATCTATACATTAAATATAAAGTATCTAAGTATAAGAACTGGAGCTGGTCACAGGGGTTCACTTCAAATGTTGGATTATAAAGCAAAGCAGCACTTTTAAAGGTGTCCTGTAGTATTTTTCTTGCAAACAGCATAAGTGTTATTTCTGTCTTCGCCTAACAAACATATTGAAAACATTTCCTTCCAGTTTTCTTCTAAACCATCGCGATCCTCCATGAGTTCATCGATGTTTAATGCAGTCTCCTTCACTGCCTCCGTTTGTGCATTGTTTCCTGTACTACCGGCGCTAACTGTCGATCAGGAGAATGACAACATCCACATACTTGTGTTCCCTGTTTGCGTTGTGAACTAAACCTCAGCATGATGCCTTTTAGGACCTTCATCATGTCTCTTGATGCTGGTCTTTTATTCCAGGACTACATTTCAATTAAATTATCACAGACATGTTGACACAAATTAGGAGCTTTTAGGGCCCCTGCAGCTCTGGAGTGTTTCTTCCCATTTGCTGCTAACAGACAAATATCAGCAGACACAGGATATGAATAGAATAACAGGCCTGATAGGCAAAAAGAGTGTTTGGGAAAGAGTGTTTTGAATAAATAATTTTCTTGTTTTTGTATTAAACCAATTCAGTAAACAGCTGAAAGCTTTTATACGTCTTTACCCTCACACAGAATCTACACAAACTTTTTTTTTTGTTTTTCCTTTTATAGCCTTTAGAGTCACAGTCATGTCTCAAAGAAGAGTTAAACAAAACAGAAAAACACGGTTTGATGGAGGGAGTCTACAAGTGCCAAGCACAGAAAAATAACAATCAGGCTGTCAAGCATCAGCCTTTTAGGGACCGGGGCGTTGACATTTGTTGACAGTGATGCTATCGCCCACATCCCCATCACGCAAACACACACAAACACACAACAGCTCAAATGACACAGTGTGGTTTTGTCAACAATAATTACCTGCTGTATGTGTGTTAAATGGTGTGTTTGTGTTTGTGTGTGAGGATGTGTTTTCAGGTCTGTCGTGCGTTTCTCATATTCCTCGTCCTGTGTGTCTGCGTGTGAGAGAGAGAGAGGTTGTGTTTTCTTTTAAATAATACACCCTTTGTATCTGTTTGTTGAAACACACACACACACACTCAATAATATTGATTGTGTGTACGTACAGCCGTCATTGTCCGTCATCCTTTTTACATCCAACAACTCGCCCTCCGTCCTTTTCCTTCCCTTGTTAGAGAGAAATCAATATGTTCACTTATTAAACATTGTTTATTATTTCATTGCTGCTGTGTGTGTATGTGTGTGTTTGTCTGTTTGTGCGTCCAGGCCACTAAGGTGTCTGCTGATGGAGAGCAGGTAGAGGATGACGCTGACAGGATTCATAAACGAGCTGAAGACCTGGAGCAGTTCATCAGGGACACGCTGCTGGGAGCTAAAGGTAACAGAAACCAACACCACCTTCTCGTCCATTAACAGCCTCCGTTCACTCTCCTGCCAACTGGGATCTGTGGATTTATCCGTCTGCTGCTTTACTGCTTTCATTTGTCATTAGAGTTCATTGCATTATATTACATCATATTAATTGTAAGGGATCCCTGTGGGAAACATGGGTTATTACATTAGAGGACAGTATGAGATATAAGAATATGAAGAGGTGAGTTAAGAAGCTAATGAAATGAATTACACCGACAGAACATATTAAAATCAGCAACTAAATGTGAGGTTTAGCGTTTTCAGAAGGACTATGATAAGAAGAATAATATTATCAGGACCAGCGTCAGTGTTAGAGTCTGTTTTTAATCAATTCTGCCACACCCACCTTTCTGAAGGGGAGGACTCATCGGAGTGAGACGATCAGAATGTCTCGCTGCCTCCCTGTTATCTCACTAATGGAAACGTAGCTCAGACACAGTGGCTGATGGGCCAGATGTCAGTGCTCAGTGCCAGCTGCTCGGGCAAAGTGTTGCACGAACAATAGCAGGCTGCTGCGTCGCTACTTACCACAGTGATCAAGACTCACCCACACACCCACCCACCCAGTAAGGTGCAATGATGACGTTTGTTCCATTCTGCTCTGCAACCTGGTCGCAAGGTCACCACTGCCTCAAGGGGGCATCAGAGAGGGTTTACAGAGAGGGACTGGACGGATAAACTAGTAAGGGTAGAGTATACAAGTATACAGAGGGTAGAATGTTCAGTACTCTCTCTCTCTCTCTCTCTTCATGTATAACCAGCAGGTCATTGTTCACTTCATCCTCAGAGCCGTGGTGCAGATGTTGAATCTCTACCCAGCGTCTGTGCCACCAGCTCCTGATGTGCTTTTCTTAGTCACAGTCTGGAGGAGCATTCAGTGCTTTGTGCAGTTTCCAGTCCATCAGTGTCCTTCCACGTGGGAACTAATGTTTTTTCCGTGTGTGAGATCTGTGCAGTTCTTTTGCTCGGGCCTCTTTTCACCGTCTTCGTCCTGCGGTGCCACCTCACAGGTCACTCTGACCATTTGTGTGACAGGATTGGCTCTGAGCTCCTCTTTATTCTACTCCTGTTTTTCAAGATCCACATCCTCACCTTGTTGCGGAGCTTTTATTTATAGCTTGTAACTTTCCATTCTGCTGGGCTCTATAAGGAATTCAATTTCAGGTGGAAAATTGGAAAAGAATTTGAGCTCAGTGTGGCTACAATACAGAAAAACTTTCATTACCATTTAGGTTTTTTATCCCGAGTCACAGTTCACCAAACGTTCACATCTTCATCTCCAAGCCCCGCCAGCTTTTTATTTCTTTAGAGTTATTTAAAGCTCAAGTGAAGTGGTTGAACCCGTCATGTAGAAATGTACTTTTACGTACCTCTCCAATGTTCTCCATGCAAAACTGTGCTGTTCAGTTAATTAGTTATTTTGATTAACGTTATGAATTTTTTATGACTTCTGGGATGAAAAGTAAGTTACCAAACCAACACATTCTGCCTGGCTGTGATGAAACTCTCCTCTTCTTGTTGCTGCTCGTAGCTCACTGGCCCTCTGCCTAATCACAGTGTGTGTGTATGTGAGTGTGTTTGTGTGTGTGTGTGAGTGTGTTTGTGTGTGTGTGAGAGAGAGAGAAGGAAAGAGAGACGGCGTGTCGTGGCTCACTGGATGATTGAGAGTAGCAATTAGAGACTTAATTAGTGGCTATCACACACACATACACACTGCATACACAAACACTGCTGCAGATGTGTGCGTGCACTCGCTCACACACACATAATGAGGCAAGAAAATACTGTACACACTTTCCTCAGCGTGCGCGCCCGTGTTTACTACATACCATAATATGAGTCCATCCACGTTTTAAGTGTTTAATTGGCTTTTAAATCCCACTGTGTAATTATATGGTTCTGACACACACACACACACACACACACACACACACACACACACACACACACACACACACAGGCAGTCAGTCGTATCTCCATGACTTCAGAGGACATTAAATTGATTTAGGTTGTTTTCACACCTGACGGTCTGAACCGAGGTTCGTGTTTACGTTTGAATCCCTTTAGTTTGAGCTTCACATTCAAATTTTGCAGACGCACTAAAGAACCTAACATGACATATTTACATCCGGCTGTCATCAGCTGCATGCGCTGCGTCTTCTTAAACTGGTTTGTTGACATAAATCTTCTTCCTCTCGTCCTCTCGGAAAATAAGAAATACGTTTGGGTATTCTCATGTTTTTATTATTCAACTCCACTCGTCTTCTTCTTCTTCTGTCCAAAGGGTGGTGAACCTGCCTCATTCCCCTGTAGTTGATCTGAAAGTCTGGGTTTTCTTTTGGTTTGCTGGTCTCTCAGAAAATAAGTTTGCCTTTTGTCGAGCTGACTTTTCTTCTTCTATCATTTACAGTCAAACCAAATTTTTGTCTTTTGGTCCAATGCACCTTTTACACTGGTTGTTTTGGTTCGGACCAAACACCAAAGTCCAAAAGTCTGGACCAAACAATGCAGGAAGCGCTCTAAGAACAATTCCCCCACATGTAGATTAACCTTAACCACACCTATAGCTCAATAAACCTGACTTAAGTCTAACTTTAAAACATGTCTGACATTAAAATCGATTGATTTGCATAATGAGGCTTTTTGTCCACGTAACGTGGTCCCCACAACATGAGTAAATCCAAAACTACACACTCACCCTCTTAGAGATTCACGAACACACACACACACACACACTGGCTGTACAGCTGTTCATTAGCATGATGGCTTTAGTTCTGTCTTGGCTCCAGTCACATCATGTTTACATTTATAATTAGAGGAAGTGCTGCACTGCCACAACTACACACACAAGCCTCCCCACCCACACACCTACACACACACACACACACACACTGTGTAAGTTTCAACTTGCTTTAATCATAACACGTTTACATTTCAAATGAGACAGCAGACACACACACACAAATTATGTGCTGCATACACATTTGCTCTATGGAGATGCACAACAAACTCTTTTTCCTCCTCTGTTTTGCTCTTTCATAGACACACACACACACACACACACACACAC